TGTTAATTGACTTGGTGCCAATAAGATTATAGAGAGTACTTGAGGGCTTGGGAAGTTTATTCCTTGGAAAGACATTCAACATTTCCAATAAATCATTTACTCAAACATCAGACAAATGATGTCGAAGAGCAATGCTGAGAAGCATAACAATCAATTCGCCTTTTGTGATTTTTCACTTTTGAATCAATAATTTCTAAAACTTTATAACTGAAATTATCGGAGCTCCGAATCATCAAATACCTGAAAAATAAAAATAGCATTAATTTCAGAATAAAGATAAGTTAAACCAATAATTGGTTTTATTTATTATTGGTTTTATTCAAGTATCCTTTTGAAAGCATTTTTAAAGAACAGCAATACTGGAAATGAGGTATAAATTGCTATTTTGCAACTTTGAACATTATTAAAATTAAATAAAATTACTTCTAATTAACGATTAGTTCCTTTGAATACTAGTTTGAATTTGGTAATAACTTTGTATATTATATAATTTTTTAACCCTTTGAAATACACTAATTCGGATAACAGTAATTTTGATAGCAAACACCACTATTTACTTTAGCGAAACAAGAAAATATTAAAATAGGGTAAATTGGGAATCTTACTTAAGGATAATTAGAAGATGTCGGTCACTTATTTGTATAGCGGCCATCTAAATAGCCAACACAACTATTTATTTACTTTGGCAAAACAAGAAAATATTAAAACAGAGCAAATGGGACTCTTTCTTAAGGGTACAAGGGACCTTGAAAACTAATTTTTTTCAAGTGTTAATCCTACATTTATGATTTACAACATTTACTTATATCACATTTAGAAATCTGTGTTAAAAATTTCATGCAGATTACTTCAGTAGTTCTAAAAATATTAAACTTTAAAAATTCAAAACATCCCATGCGCTTGTAATGGTGTTATAATTTATAAAAATTGTTTATTACCACAGTGTTATGATAAATTCAATCACTTATAAATTTAAAAAAACATATCCAGTCAGTGTTATCATCTAAAAATGTTATAATTTAAATATCTATTTGTATTAATTTTTTAACAAACATGTTGGAATATAGCTATTAACCTTATCCTTTAATAAAAGTAATAATTTATTTTCGATCGTATAGCAGTTAGAATAATTTTTTAATAACGATAATTTTGTGTTGTGTAAGTTTAAATCAAAAAATTAGGAATATAACTAAAATTATCAGAATAATTACATTGTGATTCCAACGTTAAAATAATTAGTAGCTGCATACCTTAATAACTAACATTTAACATCAGTTATTACTATTCTCTAACGTACTCGTGCAGGTCATCCACGTGCCTCAAGATCAATTATTAATGTTAATCTGATTAGTTAAACGGCAATTTGGACTAGAATTAATTATAAGCAGGGTTCATACAGAGATCAGAAGAAAAAATCGAAGGAGTATCCAAGGAGTCCAAAATATTAAGGACTTGTCATAATTTAAAAAATTTCACTTAAAAGATAGCTAGATTTCTTTTTATAATTAAAAAGCAGTTATTATGAAGAAAATAAATAAAAATTCTTATTTTGCACAAAATACTTTTTTCCCATCCTCTCAAATTTAGACACCAAGAAAAATAAATAAAATCAACACCTTCATAAATTTTCCAATTTCAAATATTTTAATAAATCTAGAGTAAGTGTATAAAGAGAAATTAAAGATTAGCATAAAAATCTGACCAAACACATGTTTTGAAATCAATCTGAATACATAAGAAAATATAAGGCATTTTGTACTAAAAATAATAAATAAACAAACAACAAATCATGTTTGCTTGTAACATGGAAAATTATTTTTTTTTATTTTTTTCTTCCAACTCTAGCAATTCTATTTTTTTTTCTTTTAAAGATTTTTTCAAACTATTAGACTTCGTCAGCAAAGTCATGTCAGTCAGTCTCTCTGCTTTCTCAGCAAATTCATCAGCGGATTTTGTGAGTTCATCAATACATCGCTGTAAATGTTTCCTCTTTTTGTACTTCATTTAAAGAATCCTGGTCATCAAAAATTCCTTTTTTTTGATTTTTCAACTTTTTTCTCTTCTTCAAGATACTCGTTGTATCGTTGCCTTGCCATCATAACAGATTTTCTCAGTTCTTTATTGATGATAACCTTTGTTACATCACCACCCAAACCATTGATATGATCACAAATAGTTCGCAGAGCGATGTATGAGTTCTCTATCAAATTTTTCCCTTCTATTTTCTTATTTACACTGAAGCCTCTTTCAACAGTTGCTTGTCCATGACTCAACAAAAGAAGCTTTTGGATGCATGGTCAAACTTTCAAATGTTTCTCTTCCAAATAATGAGAAAAAAATTCATCCAACCTCATTTTTTCTTGATCAAAATTTAAAAAATCTGCAATATTTTGACTAACTGTTTCAATGATCAGAAAAATCATCACGAATTTCATCACAATCACAGATTTTTATAATATCCAAATCTGCTAGGCTATGCAAAAGACTTCTCATTTTCGTCAAACACCCTTGTTTATCTTCAGCTAATTTTTTTTGGAGTGAGAAACGACATGTTTCGAACAATACTAAACTTAGTTGGCGACTTTGATATAATGACGGATACCATCTTTACAAGAGCAGACTTTAATATCTTTACGTAAGGATAAGATTTGGCCATCTGAATTTTTTTTCGCCGAATATACTTGTCTTTCGGCCACAAATCCCATATCAATTTTTTCAATAGGAATATGGGTTTTGGGATTATCATGCTCTATCTGTAACAACTTAAGAACAGATACGCCGTTAAAAAGCTTAGGACTCAAAAACCTTTGCATTAATCAAACCAAAAGTTTCTTGATCTTCAGCCATAAATGGGATCAAATGTTTGTCCGACTGATAGGTTTTTAGAAAAGGCTCTACGGTTTTCGCTACACTTAAAAATATGTTCAATTTCACGGGAAATAAAACATCTTTAACATTTTTACGTACGTTTTGAAATGATTTCGTTGGTGTCTTTTGAAATTTCCCCTTTTACATGTCTTTCACATAGGTATGTAATGCAGAGAAAATGTCCAATGCTCTTTCACATACTATTATATTCTCAACCCATCTATGGGAAACGAATTTCAAGGGGTAAAGAGACCCAGATATTGACTCAAAATCCTCTCTCCTAGCAGGAGAATATTTAAAAAAGTGATATATATTAAACAAAAACAATTCTATTTCCCAATCTAAAGCTTCAAAACCTTTACGAAAGGCATTATGTACAACATGTAATGAACATGTCCCTATATTTATCAGCTGTTTGCTGAACTCATTACGAATATGTTCTTCCAACAGTCCATGCAATTTCAAAATTTACATTTGGTCCATCCATTGATAGCTGCAAAGCATTTTTTAAACTCAATGGTGAAATTGAATTTAAAAGGTTCGTAAACATGTCATTAGTAGTTGCATGCCCGAGGAAGACCGACGTTAAAAAGCAGGTTTTAATGTGATTATCAAGCCAAAATTTAGCATAAATATCCATTTGCTTCTTTAAATTTTTAGAATTGAGGGTTTCATCAAAAAGAGGGATAAAAATTTCCCCCTCCAAGTCTTTCAGAAGAAGATACTTGAAATATGGGGCAAGCCCAAAAACAGCTATATACGAAGTTTTCTTTTCACTGCAGGAAAAGTCGGCTGCAATGGCACTATCAGGAAACATAAGTTTCAAGACTTTGTCAATGTTAGTGTTTGACCTATATGAATGGTGGCACTTCACAGTCCTTAGAACTCAGAGTATCTCGGCATCTAGAGTTTTTGAACTTTGAAAATAACTTTCTAAATTCTTTCCAACTTCATTTGAAGATGAATCCCTTTGCTGAGATGAAGCTGACTCTCTTGGAAACGAAATTTTCTTTGTAAGTAGTAGTGCCCTCAATGACTCTAAATGGCTTTTGTAACCCATGTGTGACTTCAGAGCAGATTCCCCCATGCTGGCAATTGAAAACGTCTTATTACAAGACCTGCATCTGGCTGAGTGCTTATCCTGTCCATCAGCTAAGAGCCAGTTCTTGTACTTTTCATCTTCTAACCATTTAGTGTTGAAAACACATTTGTCACATGGAGCCATTATCACAGAGACAATACTCCTAAAAGACAAACAAAACCATTAATCTCTAAACACTGCCAGTCACTTTTTAAATGGTGGAAAGTAAAAAATCATTTAATATTTATAAATTTTTTTATGAACAATGGAAATTACCTCCTAAATATTTGTGTTACAAAGATTAGATACCTTACAAATCTTGTTAATTATTTATCCTAAAAATTAATAAACACCGATCAACTATTTAATATTTCAGTACTTAAAAGGAAAAAAAAACTCATTGGAAACGGAATGAATGTTTAAGGTAATTTATATTTATTTCCATAATAAAAATAAATAACTGAGTTATAAAAAATAACAAAATTACAATTAAATATCAGATGAAAGTTAAAATTAAGATACGAGTGTTGTAAAAAAACAATTACTTGGTTTCTTTCATGAAATTTGAAATCTATAAATAACAAGATGAACTACAAGAAAAAAAATCTTAAGAATTTCAGATGAACACAGGATACAAAAGTTAGTAAAAAAAAAAAAAAAAAAAAAAAAGCAAAAGTATACCGATTATTTTAAATTGCTCAGCAGACAGACTTTAAAGTACTTTTTATCATAGGTGATAATTTAGTGCATTAATCTTAATTTTAAGTCCCTAAGGAATTTTTTCTATTTAAGATACAGCTTTGAAGTAAACTCTTTTATCTTCAGTATAATATACTTATTTAAACTGTGCATGGAATTAGCATTTTATGAGGTATTACAATTTTTACAGCATGTTATATATACCTAACAGGAATTTTAAACTTTTTTTTAAACTTTTTTTACAAAATAATCCATAAAAAATATTCAAATTGATACATTAACGAATGAACAAAATTGTTAAGAATTTTTTTTAATTTAAAAAAAAAACAGTTTAATTATTTTTTAAAGATTAATTATTGGTTATAAGTGAAATGAGAATGTAAAACATCCACAAAATGAATGATTATACTTTTACTTAAAAAAATTTTTTGCAAGGGTACTGTGCCCCTCAATATATTTATGTACTTAATTTTCAAATACCTCAATACATAAAAAGTAAATAACAATTTATTCGAAGTACATAGATGGACAATTAAATATTAGATGAAAGCTAAAATTAAGGTACAAGTGTTGACAAAAAATAATTAATTGGTTTTTTTCATGAAATTTGAAGTCTATAAATAACAAGATGAACTATAAGAAGAAAAAAATCTTAAGAATTTCACAGTTTCAGATGGATACAAAAGTCAATAAAAAAAATAAAGCAGGCAAATGTATACCGATGCATGATAATATATATATATATATATATATATTCATGAAATAATGAAAAATAATATAACAACAGGGTACAAAATTCAGCAAAAAATAAGAACAAATAATTGGAATAAAAAATACACAAAATTAGATTGAGAAATTAAAGCTGTTGATGATGTAAATTACTGTTTTTATCTCAGTGGATGTTGGTTTGTATGGAAAGGAAGGTGAAGATTAACATTAAAGTGAAATTAATAACTTAAATTTTTCTATTGCAGCTTAGCTCAAACTTAGGGAAATAAAATTTGAAAAAAAAAAAAAAAAAAAAAAAACTTTAATTTTAATTTTAGATATTCTCCATTTTAAAGTGATTATGTTAGTTTTTAGTTATTGGCGCAAGAGCCAGTAGTGGCTATATCGCACCTACAACTTGGTTTTTTATTAAATATCTATATTGATGTATCAAAACCAATGGCTTTGAGGTAAGGGAAAATGTTGTTGTGGGGACTGTTACCAATTAATAAAATCAATGATGGATTAATGCAACCGAATTGGCGTTGTCTCCGAATTTAAAATTTGGTTAAAATGTGTTTCACAGTGAGCGGTTCCTTACAATGGGAACACTCTGGAGTAGGCTCATTTAGTAGAAGATGTATGTGAGTAATACGATTATGATCGATACGTAAACGGTTCAAAACAACTTCTAGCTTTCGAGGGAGATTAAGATGTGTATTAGGTTGTAGGTGTATGATTTGATACAGTTAAATAAAACATATTAAGCAGTGCGTGTTATTTTATTATTTTGCCATTTCAGATCACCCTCTTTGCTGCTAATTATTTGGGAAAAATTTTTCCGGATATACTCGGCTCTGAAAGATGCATGTTTCGATCCTGTTGCAGCAAGACTTGTTAAATTTTTGTCCAACATTACATTTTTGTTCCTCTTTTTGGTTCTAAGAGACATGGTATTTTTCTTTGGCGCAGCATATTGTGCAAGATGCAGCTTGCTAGCACAAGTTTACTCACAGTTTCAATTTTACATGCAATTGGGGTGAAAAACACTCAAATATAGGCACAGAATACCAAAGGCATTTTCAGATGTCCGCCTAGCTCTGCATAATCTGTAATTATATAGTGCTTTTTCAACATCTGTTTGAGCTTGACTTTCGGGGAAGGGTTTCATCATTGCCGAGGTTAATGCAAATGCTGCATCCCCGACAAAAACATGTGGGCACAAAGTTTTAGTTCCAGGAAGGTTCTTTGGTTTCGGAAGGGTAATAGTCCCTGGCTGAAGATTTTTGTTTAGGTTAGACCTTTGAAAAATTGTACTGTCACCTCCCTTTCCATACGAACCAACATCTACTGTGATAAAACAGTAGTTCGCATCAACAAGTGCCAATAAAACAGTCGAAAAATAGTCCTTATAACAGTAATAAGCACTTCCGCTGTTTTTCGGGCAAACCATCCTAATGTGCTTGCTATCAATTGCACCACAGCAGTTTGGAAAGTTCCACATCTTTGAGAAGTTCTTTTTAGTTTCCTCGAACTTCTCTTCAGAAGGCTAAGGCAAAAACAAAGGCATTACATTTTTTATGATGCTTTCTGGAACCTCTTCAATAATACGGCCAATTCAACTATGGCAAATTCTAAAGTTGAATGCCAAAGAATGGTTGGATTCTCCAGTTGTTAGCTATCTAAAAAGAAAACATATTTTTAGTCCAATAAAAAAAGTGAGAAAATTAAGTCACTTAAATAAAGGTAAATGTTTGGATTGTGGATTAAACAAAATACATATTGACTAGAATTTCCACAAAAAATTTACATGGAGTGTGATAAACAATGTGCAAGTGAATATTTTTCAATTATATTAAAAAAATATTCAGTAGTGAAATCTTTGATGTTCTGAGAATGAATTTTGCAATTATTATTCAGTATCAAATAATTTATTTAGCAATCTTTTGATGTCTTTGCCAAGTTTAAAGGTTTATTTTATTAGATTTTAATTGTTTCAAATACATATAGCCTTAAATTAACAGAGGAATGAAAATCCATGTAGTGCACGGGCCACCTTTACTTCTCAGACAAGTTGATACCCATCGATCTAAAGCTGAATACATGGATATTTATAGATATTAAAATAAGCTAAAATTAACTTTTATACTTGATATTAGAAAATTAAATAACATTTCAAACAGTAATTCTTGAATGCATGCAGAATTTAAATATAATAAAACACTTTCAAAATATGCTATTTAAAAAAGTATTAAATAGATATTAACACTCAGAAATTCATGCATGTTATAAAATAACAACTTAATAAATTTCTAATAAAATAACATTGCTCTTACCTGAGAGTCAGGCACAATTTCTCTTCTTTGGAGATTGGCTGCTTCCTTCTATTACACACTCTGTACGAAATGCTTCCTTCGATTAGTTTAAATAGTTCTTGAAACAATTCAATTGAGAAGCGAAAATACTGCCGAAATTTCTCATCATTAAACATTAATGTCTTTTAAACAGAACAGCGAATGCTCCTTCAGATTAATAAAGATCAGACGATTAATAAAAATTTCATCATCTTCTTTATTTTGAAAGAATAATCTAAACCTAGCTTCTTCTTCCTCCTCTTCCTCTTGAATTAATAGCGTTATAATTTGTTTTTCAGCGTGATCCATTTTCCAGCAAATTTATGACAATTTAAATAAACAATATCACACGTCATTTACGCATGCGCAATGAGAATTAATATCTGCGCCTAAACGTCTACTACCGCTGAGCTTACAAACCACTTTTTTTTGTTGTCGTCAGTGGGCGACAGGTTACCGCTCACGTCAAGCGAAAGCGTTCGTTCTAACAAACCAGGCCTTTAGGCATTGAATTGGATTCAAAAGTTGCTACCACACCATTTTTATTGCCACTATATATGCCTAACAAAATGGGCAGTGAGAGTAAAAGCGCTAGAACGATTCCTTATACATTATTAAAAGGTAATCGATACACTAAGCTCTCATTGAGAACCCGGGTTATCTAAGAATGAAAAACACGCGAGCTTGAAATGCTATTACAAAATGATGGTAAAACGAAAGATTATTTAGTATTAAAGCTTCAAAGTCAGTATTCTCCCCCTGCGAACATTTGTCATCAGCTCTGCAATCCCAAAGCTACACAGCTTTTTGAGCATATCAAGTTTCAAATTTTCTTCTCGAAAGTCTAATGAGTTTATGAAATGTTAAGAATGTAGGGTTTAATGGCATAAGGTCCAAAAAATACACGCTGCGCCAAACAAACGGGTTCCCCCCCCACAAATGTAAGATAACGCATGATTGTTTTTCCAAAATACATTATGTTATTAAAATTTTGCGTAGCACGCAAAACATCCAGAAGTCAATAAAATCAGATAAAGGTGTAAATAGATTAAGACAGGTTAAAACGGTACGTATATAATAAAATACAAACCTAATAAAATTGGCTAAAAGCGGTTATATACAATATAAAATACCAACCGCTTATAGAAATGCACAAATGTTAGGATGCTGCACGCTTTATTTAAAAAATATTTTATGCATACAACAGAACTACCGATGAAGGTTAAAACATGGGCAAGAAATTGTGATGGATCGTGAGAAAAACGTTGCAAGTATTGCAGTGAGGAGATTCTATTGTAGAGTTTAATGGCACAAGATCCAAAAGAGGATGCTGCGCAAACAGTACGTTAATGCAGCTTAAAATGTAAAATGCATACTACTATTTTATTTTTATAAAATACATAAAAGTAATAAAACCGTCAATAGCAAGACGAATATATTTAAAAGTCAATATATTCCAATAAAAGGCGTAGTTATATAAAATACTTGAAATAGGTAAAACTGCGCAGTGAGGAGGAGGTTCACCAAACAGCAAGTGAAGATAGGTCAATCGAGTGTGGCCTATTCGGAGACGAGTAAGCTTGACGTCTGCCCTACGATTTCATAAAGTAGACAATGGATCCAAATCAATTCTTTAAGCGTGCAAATTATTATTGATTTGGAGATCCCACTATTGCAACCACAGAGACTTCATTAGCTATCGAACATGTGTTTTTATATCTGAGTAATATATAGACGTTTAAGAAATTAACAAAAGTTTCAGGAGCTGTGGGAATTATTATGATCAGAAGCAGATTGCTTGGGTCTGCATAAGCGTCAAGAAACAAGAAAACAACTCTCCGTTTTGAGCGAAAAGAAAAACCTGAAAAGAGGGTAAATTTGGATTGCCGACAAAAATACTGTCAAGAATATTTCGAATGCATAGATAGAGTGAGTTCTGAAGTCAATAGGAGGTTCAATCCATTGGGGATGCAAAGATCAGTTGAGATAGAAACTATTAATAGAGGGCATAAAAGACACAAAGAGCCTTTCGACTCAAAAATTCTTCGGCCGCATGCTGTTGACTTCAATCTAAATACACTGATGTATAACTAGAAGTATTGGAAGGAAAAAAATTAAGAGACTGGCTAACGCGCTCTGCGTCGAGGATTCGAAAAGAGGAGGGAGAAAAAACAGCGCCGTCTGGCAATCGCTGATAGGCCCTCATACCATTACGTCACTCCTCTTCCTGCATTACATCCCTCCTCTTCAGCCATTTACTGCCTGTTGGGGAATAATCGTTTGCGAAGGGACTTAAAACTCAACAAGGGAAAATCGCTCGCACGCGACCCAGCCACCAGCCGATTGTACAAAACAGATTAAAAACATTAAAAGAAAATAAAAATACTTTTAACAATTCAAATGTTGGTTTGTGATGTCTAGATTTTTTTTTTTATAGAAATTTTTGTACCGATGGAAATTAATATATAAAATAATGTGGCTATAAAAGTCCAATTTTTTTTTAAGATACTCGTTTCATACCTATAAATAAAAGTTAGCATCATTCATTAATTAAATATTTTGCCTTAGCTCAAAAAATTTAATTTGAATGAATTAGACTAAAAACATTCAAATATTTCAACTCAAATATTTCAATAAAAAATAAATATTTACAGCTAAAATATTTATTTCACTGTAAAGTTATAGGCTATATATAAAGTTTTAGCATAAACAAGAAAAAATTGAACCGCATGGAACATTTTGAAAAAGTAAAATAACTGAAAATTTCATTTCGAGAAAGAACCACTTTTATTAATATGTACTGTATAACTATTTTATTTTTGTTTTAAAACCTTTTAGTTCATAATATTAACATAAACAAACTTCATGATTAGTTTTTAATTAAAAATTAAAAAAAAGTTTTGTATATGATTCTACTTCGACATAAAAGGAAGTATGTAAGCATATTATATAAGCAATTGTTGCATAAAAGGATTTTTTTCTAAAATCCTCCAAGACAGTAAGTAGGTCCTTCCTGTTTTATTGATTTTTTATCATTAGAGAGCTTTTTATATTTCTTTGAGTTCCTTCCCAATTTAAATTGTTGAGAAGATTGTTGCGTCTTTCAGCAACGAGTTGTTGTGGACAGCATTTTAAGCACTCATTTTCATTGTTTCCACAAAACCAAAATTGTACTCGCTAACTGCAGCTGTTATTGCTAGTTCTAGTCTTTTTTTTTTTTTTTTTTTTTTTTTTTTTTTTTTTTTTNTTGAGACGAATGTCCCTTTTAGACATTTGCGCCATATGCAACTATGGATGCTTTCATTAGTATTTTGGGTGTTGGAAAAGGTACACCGCGAAAGCATATCATCAGAAGCAAGGCGTTCATACACTGGTAGTATCATCTCCACAATTTCAGTTCTCCATAAGTTATGTCACGTTCAAACACCTTCAATGTACACTAGGGCGTATCGAAATTTTTTAGATCTTTTTTCAGTTGTGCGGAAAAGATGTGAACACCCGTCATTAAAAATTGTGCGGAATATCAAAACTCGGGGTCAATATCTTCTGTCGCCTCAGTGGGCCGAAAGTTCCGAAAATTGGACTAAAAATCATTAAAATAAAAATAATAATAAACAAACCCTTATTTCGTTTATCGGTCTGAGGTAGTGTTTACAAGTTGCTATTCTATAACAAATACAACTATAAAAAATTTTGGAAAATGAAGGTAAAATTTTAAGTAAATAAACTTCACACTTACCTCATTTTAATGGGAAGAGAGACTTTATTTTACCTCTTAAACATACAAATGACAAAAGCATTACTGTTTGTAATCATTTTTTGTCTCAAATTTTGACATATGCTTTCTGGATTCTAGTGTCGCTCTAATCTATTCCTGTTCAGCGACCCAACTGTTTTTCCCAAAGCTGCAGTAACTAATTTCACAATCCACTCCACTCCTTGTGTGTGTGAAGGAAATTTAATAAAGTCCCAGCAGTCCATTGGCATGCCGTCCTTTATCATCTTGAGAACTGATCTCTCTGAGAACGGAAGGCGATGTCACATAACAAGCTTGCCAGGCAATGAGATCTACATAGTCTGCTGCTTCAATGTTAAGAGCAGGAATAACGAATCTGCGAACACAACTTCCTTCTGGGCTAACTTCCCTTGC